GTCCACTCGAAACCGCAAGCGTTCGCTCATTCAACTACATCTGATGCTCGCACATTGGTCCTCAATGACGTTCGGCGTCTTGGTCTCTACCGCTCGACCATACTTCAACACGAGCATGTCAGCGTTCGAGCGCCACTGACGTTCGAACACCGCTCGAAAATCCATATCAACGAGCGTTCAAAAACCGCTCGACAAACCATGTCCATGAGCGTTCAAACCGTCCACGCGTTCAACCTACGTGTCGAGCGTCCAAACCGTCCTCACGTTCAACCGCTCGACACTACATTTGGATTCGGCCACTCGACGCCAACGACGTTCGTTCTCTTGGGGCCAATCGTTCGCCCATTAGATCTCACGGACGGTCGGCTTAGAGCGTTCATCGCTTCGCTCAACATCGATGTCAAACAGTCAACCGTTCGGCCTTGCCCTTTGGATTCGATCGCTCGACAATCAATGTAGACGAGCGTTCAAACAATCGGCCGTTCGGCATCCCTTTGGTTTTCAACCACTCGGCCTCACATTCGGCCTCTACTGTTCAACCATACATCTACACCAGCACTCAAGCCTTGGGTCGTTCGTCCGCTTGCCTCAGTTGTTCAACTGTAGGTCTCAATTATGGTAGGCCGCCTGGCCTCCACCCTTTCGCCTCAGTCGTTCGGCGATTTGCGTCTCAAGCATTCCAGCATTCATTTTCACGAACGCTCGGCCTAAAGCGTCCAACACTCAGCATCCCTGATGTTCGACAACTCGACCTCTACGGCTCGACCACTTATCGAAACGACCGCTCTACCATGCGATCCTATTGACGTTCGACCGCCAGGTTTAAAACACTCTATATTTTTATATATTGTATATCTTATGCAGGTCACAGTAGACGGCCAACAGAAAACCGAGCGTTCTACGGGATACACTCCCTCTGATAGTTGTTCGCCTAAGAACACTCAGAACATCAATAACCATTTCACTTTTTATAATGGTTCACGTTGGATAAACCTACTAAAATAAACTATTGCTTCAATGGATGTAATGATTTTATGGTTTGTGAAAAAGCTTTTTCTAGGTGAGTTTAGAAGCGTAATAATTTAGATGTCTTAAATATAATATATTCAATCATGGTGATAAAATGAGTTTGTGACTTTCACACATCAATTAACATCGTTGTAGCATCATATATAACTAGACTTTCATCAATGACTTTAGGTTGATGGTAGTGCAACTTCTTGATCCATGTGTCATAGGAAAGGCCTAAAAGGATGCTTACTCTTTTCTTTAAATTAATGAGTGTTCAATTGTATGGGATAATAAACAATTTAGGAGAAACACATTAAAAGTGGAAGCTTTTCTCATCTTAGTATGACCATTTGTAAACACAACTGCGAGATAATAATTGAAATATTCTTCGTGTTTGTGATGCAAAGTTTTTTATTACAAAGAATAATATTATGGACAAGAGAGAGTTTTTTTGTAAGAAGAATGGACAACCTAGAAATAAACCAAGATTCACATTTTTTAAAGATTTGTGTCTTGTTTGTTATGTTACATTTTTGAGGTTTTGATTGAACTTTCCTTGACAATCCTTCATCCTTTAACAAAAAAACTTTTAAGGTGCTAATTATTGGTTATATTTCTTGGCTTCTTTGTGGGTTTTTGTTGCAAACCTATAGGAAGATTTATAATAAGGTTTCATGAATTTTGGAGGCGATTTAGGTGGGAAAACAAAGTCATGTGCTAAACTTAGAAAAGGTGGATGAAGTTTATGGTTTTCTTGGAGAAATAAAATTAAGGAGAATCAACACTTTCATCTATGAATTTGAGTTTGTTTTTAGAGAGCAAAACATGCTTCATACTTCTACTCCAATAATGAAAATTAGCTCGAGTTAATTGAGCATTAACAAGAATCATACTAGTATTTTTTTTCTTAGATGTAAGTAATATGAGCTTCATGAGTTTTGAGATTGATCTATGATAAATTCTCAATATGAGTTGATTTTAATGTTAATTTGACATTTATCTTGTTTTGATTCTATAAAATATTTATGTTAATCACCTCAATTTTACTTGTTTTTGCAGGTTTTGATGAAATTCAAGAGTGAAAGTTGAATTTTGAAAAAAAACAGAGAAATTCTAAGCATTTCACAACAAACTAACTTCAGCAAAGTTGCAATGCTAAAATTTAGGGCTTGAAACACATGAAGAAAACTCACATTGGAAGGTTTCCTCAAGCCTTGAGGCTCAAGCTTATTAAGACAATATTGTCTAGAAACCTTTTATTTTGAAGTTTAGCGAAAGCGTGTAACAAAATAGTGTCTATCAATATGACAATCTAGGATGACACACTAAATGATATCTATGTCCAGACAATATCCTAAATGCAAACAATACTTTAAACAATCTGATAAATAGACTACACTAAATGCTATAGCACACAGACTATGCTAAACAATATGATAAATGTCTAATGTTTTAAATCCAAGTGTATAAATAATACTTATTATCTATTGTGTTGTTTCTCTTTATCTGTGCACATCGATAAAGGACAAATACTTTATTCAAAAGTTTTACGTTGATTAAGAAAAACATTAAGAGATTCGAAGACATTTTTGAATATTTCTTCAATGCTTTTTGTCTGTCCCATCTGTATAAGCAACATTGTTGCCTCTACAAAAGCAACTTAGCATCTGACCTTGTACAAAAGGCTACACACCTACATCAAGGCTACGAACTACAAACATAGTCAAACAGACAAATATTCAAAAAGCCTATAAATAGAAGATCTCTCAAGAAAAAAATCAAAAAGGATAGAAAAGAGGATAGCAAAAGTGCGCAAATCCTACAATGACATATCCATCCTAAAGAGAAAAAGAGAAGAGCTCAAAGAAAAGAATACATCTGAGTTGAAGAAAAGAAAAGATAAGAGAAAAGAGAAAGAGATACTCTCGAGCCTAAGCGTCAAATCTCTTACTGTTATAAGATCTTAAAGAGAAACACTTGCGAGTGTTTAGACTATATTGTATTGTAATCAAATTCTCTCGTAGAGAGATTTAGTCCAAAATGCTTGTAAGATATCGTTGATTGCAATTTTGAAGAGAATTAAAACACTTAAAACTGAACTCTTTTGAGTTGAGGAATCTAGGCGCGGTAATCTAGTATCAGGAGTGGTTCGAATACTCAAGAAGATCTCAACGGGGGCTGAGTACTATGAATGGTGCTAATATTCAAAGGAAATCTCGGCTAGGTGTTGAGTACCAAGGTGGTGCGAATACTCAAAGGAAATCTCGACGAGGTAGCTAAGTACCAGGAGTAGTGTTAATACTCATTTGTAATCGTGTGAATATTATAGTGGAACCCTCTGTGAAGGAGACTGGACATGGCTTAGTTGGAGCTAACCAGTATAAAATCTCATGTATTATTGTTTCTTCTCTTTACTAAACAATCCTCTTAAAAAGAATACAATAAAAAGGAACCCTCCAAATAAACTAAAAACGTCTTAAAGTGATACCTATAATTAAGATGCTCTTATAACCATATAACAACACTCTACAGCTAAATTAAGCTAAGCTAAAATGTTTGTTAGAAACTTATTTATTTAATTCAACTAGTTAGGTTAACCAACATTTTACAATCTTAGATAAACACAATCAGATTCGACTAACTCATTTCGTAGAGTACACAATATTATATGTAGTTTTTTTATTATAAATAATTTTGTCCCAACTGTAAAACCATTTTGAATATGAAATATTTTCTTTGAATATTTAATGCAATTATATATTAAGAGTTCAAAATCGAAACAATTAGTTAAGATGTCGCACGCAATTCATCTACATTTTTAAGTTTCATGTAAAATTTCTCAAGTTTGACCAAAAAGGTTAGGTCCTGTAATTAGCTCTCAAAGAGTTTGGATACTGAAGCAAAAATTAAATAAAAATAATTCGTTAGGATAGGCTTCTCTAAAAAAAATATTTTTTATAAATTAATATTAAATTATATATTAATTAAAACTAAATATTAGATAAACTATACGAAGAACTTGTACGTACTAGTTTATATAAAATTAAGTTTAACTTATAAATATTCATTTAAACAATATCATCGTTGATATCGTTCATTTAATAATTTGAAAATCTGAACCAACAAGTTGTAGGTTGTAGGTTTTAGTAGTATTCTATTCAGTTAAAAATGATATTGATAAAGTTGTTTTAGTATGTTTTATATTTAATATTTAATAAATATGTAATTTGGCATGAGGGTATATGATAATCTCAATTAAGAAAAACTACGAAAACACTATTTAACCATAAAAAATTATTTGAAACTACAGATTCCATTAAAAATAACCAATAAGATTTTTAACAAAAATTAATCTGTAAAACTCTGGAAGAAAAAAAGTTATAATATCGAATTATGGATAACAGAAGATAATAACTATGAACGTGAACTCTGTTACGTAATTTGAATACATGGAAAGATTATGATATGTCCTTACAGAAACTTCCACGACTTTTCTTACATTTAGGTTTTCGTAAATCTCACGCTTTTGTTTTCCGTACTTTGAAACCAAAGCGAAAATGGACTTTCAACCCCAACCCATGTGTAGGACAAAGATTATCCAAATCCTTAACAAAGTTAAAACTCACCATTACGTGGAAGATCATATAAAATAACACAACGATTACAAAGAAAATTAATTTAAAATAATAAGTGAATATCAACCTAATTTTACAAACTAGTTTTATTAGTTTAATTTTTAACATAATATTAGAATAATGGATTTATTATGTCATTGTATGGCTTCCCTTCCAATGGATTAGTACTATAGCTTCCCCTCCAAGGTCAGCTACACCCTCCCTTATGTCTGGGTTTGGAACTCCGGCAATAATGTATTTTACATTATTATTTACCTTTTGTAAAAGGGGGAAATTTTAATAATAACTAGGTCATTGATTTTATACAGTAATGCAAACCCAAGTATTAATTTACTATCTATTGCATTTCAGTTGTTGCAGATTGGTGATTATGGAATTGGAAGATAGTCGAAGCTTGCAGTCTGTAATATCAGATTATAGTGCCAACCTTTCTTGAGGTACTAAGACTTCAGAGGATAGACCTAAATCTTGTTTTGGAACTCAAAGATTAAACAGTCTGTTCCCTAAGGGCAATTTGATGTCTCTTGAGGGAAATGTGATTGAAATTCATAACAACCTAAATCTGGTTTCTTCAATTCATGCTAAAATAGCCAGTTGTATTTTTTTTCTTATTTTTTTATTAATTTCTCCGAAGAGATGCGAAGGGAAGAGGAAGGGCGGCGTCGGTGGTCATGGTGGCGGCTGCGGCGGCCAACAAATCCCTTTTAAAGGAGCCTCGGTACCGAGGCGTGAGAAAGAGACCGTGGGGGAGGTTTGCGGCGGAGATCAGAGACCCGTTGAAGAAAGCCAGGGTTTGGTTAGGAACCTTCGATTTTGTCGAGGAAGCTGCTCAAGCCTAAGACGCCGCCGCACGGACTCTCCGGGGTCCCAAGGCCAAAACAAATTTCCCTCTTTCACACCCTTTCTACATCGTCTCCTCGTCGTTCCGCCCTCCCCTGCCTTTTGATCTCAACGCGCCACCGTTCGACGATGCCGCTGCCGATGACGATCTCCGCTGCACCGCGCTCTGCCTCCTGAACGTGCCGTGATGGTTTTTAATTTCTAAATTTTTTCACCCTTGATTTCTTCTTATTGTTGCGCGGATTAAATTATAATGATGATCAGATGTAAGATTGTGGCAATATGATCTTAGTTCTATGAGAGGGAGATTCCATGATTTGGTGTATTTTCTCTTTCTAGAATTTTATTTAGGAGGAAATATTGAATGAGAAAAAAAAGTAATTATGAAGCGAGTTGGAGGATGATGGAGATGAATAAGGGAGGATTGAAGCTTCAGCAGCTTGAAGATGAAGGAAGGATCCACGTTTCAGAAAAAGGCAAGTGACGTGGTAAATCGTTAGTCATCTCGAGTTGTTCCTTTTTTAGGACTAAAAACTCGAGTTTTTAGATGAAAATGAACATACCTGAGGAACGAAATCCAAAATAAGATGATATTTGAAAGATTAATTAATTTTAAAAATCTAATATTATTCAACCAATATAAATATTCTCTTTTAATATCAAAATCTCTTTTAGCGAATAATTATAACCGCATAATTATTTATCATGTCATCATGGTTGAAACATAAATGAAAGTTTTTTACTGGAATGTTAAGTTCTAAATAAATCAAGTAAATTTGACTTATCTAAGTTGTGAACATTTTATTTTAATAGAGTTAAATAACTAAATTATTAAAATAAAATAATTAATAATATTTTTCTCTCTTTAAAAAAAAACAGATTTTTTCCATCTATATATTCATTAGTTTAAAGGATTCAAAAGTATAAATAAATAATATAAAAGCTATAGTACTAATCATTATAAAGGGAATATAATGACTGAATTTGTACATATTCACAGGATTTTCAAAAACAAACTCATTTTGTAACTCTAAACAGTTTAATACATATAAAGCAGAATACCAATGTTAGAAACAAAGTTTTATAAAAATATAAAACTTGTAAACTATCCTAAGGTGTTATATATATATATATATATATATATATTATCAAAATAGTTTGCTCATGTTGTTTGGACATAAGTTAATGCATTTAAGTCCAATGGTTGTGTATCATAAAAAATCTACAACTAATTAATTGAAGTTGGGATAAATTCATGTGTAAGTAATAAATCATTTTATAAACAAAGATGTTCTCCAATTATAGAAACATTCAATTTCATTCCATTCAAACAATTCATATAAGAACACTTCATCCTTATTCTATTTTCTACACTATACCATGAATGAATTATATAAATTTTTTCATCCTTCTCCTGTAATTTTCACTTTATACGTGTTGAATTAATCTAACTGATCTATATCTATGTTATGTAAATACATTATTGAAATGAATTTTCGATGAATGCATGCAAAGTTAACTTTTTCGATCAATCATTTATTATGTAAATAAAACAAATGATCAAGGTCATCTTGTTCTTCAACCTATTCTACATTTTTTAGCTTAAAAGCCAATGCATAACCTTGGAACCTTAAAAAAAAAAGAACTTTCTCATTCATGGAACCTTAAGCTTATTGAAAAATCTTTAACCTCCTTGCCTTGAGTTGAGATGAACATATATGTTAAGATGAGGAGAATGGTTTAAGTTTGGGGGAGTTCTTATCATAAGGGAGCATTGAGAAAAATAACAATATGGGTCAAAAAGAAAGAAAAAGAACAAAGAAGAAAGAAGAAAGAAGAAAGAAGAAAGAAGAAGAAAAATAAAAATGCATTCAATGAACAAAAGTTGGGATATAAGTTGAGAAATGGTTTATCCAATTATGAAGCAAAAAGAGAGACTAATGTTATATCTTGAAGTAAATTGTTTTCTCTCTTAGCTCAAGGTGCTTTGTCCAGAAAAACCAAATTTTTTTCTTAGCCTAGGCACATTACAAGCCTTAAAAAGTCCTTGTAATGATAACTTGCTTGTGAATGTGTTTGATATTGTTGAAACGAAGGGTAAAGTTGATTTGTGTAACACTGTGATAGTTGAGAGTTAGACACACATCCTTATACATCATTATGCTTGAGTGAAACACTTTCTTTGGTGGGGATTGGTTCCATGCATGAAAACATCTTGTCATGTCTATTGATCTATCATTTGCATCTATCTCGTGATTTTCAAATGTGAGCACCATGATTGAAGTTTAGCTTGTTGAAACCATATTATCTCTTGAATGTAATTCCCAAGTTGAGCAAGCATGATTGATTTTGTTTATTTGATTGAAACTGTACTTGGGTTGCTAGACCATTGTAATTGAATTGTTTGCTAGGAAAAATACCTTTGCTTGAGGACAAACAAAGTTGTAAGTTTGAGGGAGTTTGATAATGTTAATTCTTACCATTATTTAAGCATCAATTTAGTAGCAAAAATCAACTCTTTTCTAGCTTATAACTTGCTTAATCCTCTCTTTTATCTTAATTTTATGAATAATTTTGTTTAGGGCTACTTTGATGTAATTTCATCTATAATCCCTTTATTTTGTAGCTAATAATGTGTTTGGAAGAATCTCCAACAATGTATAGAGCTGAACCAGCCACAAGAAACAAGCAGATCTGAAGAAAAAACGAAAAAAATGTAGTTCAGAAAAGTCAGGCTGAGGGCCCCTAGGTCAGGGCCCTGAGCGCCACCTAGTCAGGCTGAGGGCCCTGGGTCAGGGGCATTGAGCGCCACTTGCACAAAAGCTGATTTCTGGTGTGCTCGTGCTGAGGACCCTTTAGTAGGGGCACTGAGCGCTATGATACTGTCAGAATTTCTTGCCTAGGCGCCCTCTCCAAGGGTGCTGAGTGCCATGCACCTCGCAATTTCGCTTGGGCACCCCCTCTAGGGGCGTTGAGCGCTAACGGCGTTGATGTGGCATATTTGTTCTATATAAACCTAAAATGCGAAGGGGTTTTGAGTCTTTGGTTCTTTAGAGGCGCGATTCACTCAGAGGAGAGCTTGGAAGGCTGTTAGGGTTTGTGGGAACACTCTCTTCTTCCTCTTTGGTTTCTTATTCTTCTTCCATGGCCATTTTGTAAGCTTAAAGGCTCTCCATAGACATGGAGAGTCAAACCCATCTTGTTGGGATTACTCGTAGCCTATGAACTCTTGTGTATTTGTTGAATGATTCAAATATATATATATATATATATATATATATATATATATGCCTTGTCTATCAATTGCTAGTATTCTTGTTTCTAATCTTAAAGCTTGCATGTTATAGAGATGTTCATGGCTTGATCTTTGATTCATGGGTGTGGGAATGTATCTTGTGTGATCTAGAATAGAAACAAGAGTCTTAGTGGTTCATTGATTCTAGAGATGGGAGATGCTTCACTTATTGTCTTAGATCCTAGTTCTTAATGCGGGTTTTGCTTGTTAATTAATCAAGAGATTGATAGTTAATAGGTGAAAGTTAGGCTCTTTCACCTAAGGAATTAGGGCTAGAGTGTTTTTGTGGATTGACTTTAGTAATTTGAATGAGAGCAGATGAAATTGTGTATGCACAAGTGTGAATTGGTGAAAACTAACCTTAACATTGCCATTTTGTACCAATTCTAGTCTTTTTTGCTCTTAAGCGTGTCTCCGGATGCCAAAGACCACTTTTATTTCCTTGTCAATTAATTTGTTGCACTTATTTGTATATTCATTAATCTAAATGAGTTGTTAATCGTGCAATTAACTAGTGTTACACGAGTCTCTTGGAAAACGATACTTTATCTTATCATTTTATATTACTTGAACGATTCGGTACACTTGCCGAGGTCTTAACATAATCCAAACTGTTTTCCAACATATTTCACACTATTTTAACGAAACAAATTTGTTTTCTACACATTATAATCATTTATATTTTCCATCAATGATCAAGATGGTTAAAACATTGTGTTTTCTGTCAAATCTCTATGGATACGACACTTGTTATACTACAAACTACTTAATATACTTGCCAGTATACTTGGGTTGTTGCATGGACACCCAATAGTCTTGACATGATTTCTCTCACTTTCCAAGAAAAAAAGATCAAGAATTTGTTATTCTTACACTTGGGTAAGTGCTAAGTGGTGTTACAATCTATAAACGGAACACATTCACTTGAAAAAAATATCATTTGAATTGCTATGCATATTATCTTATATTTAACTTTTTTTGTTAATAATTTTCTTTATAACATCTCATTTTATAGTATATATACAACTCCTAAAAGAAATATCACATAATCAATATCTAAGAAGAGATAACTAACAAATGTATATATAGGGTGTGTGATGTATGCCACTTAGTTAAATAATACAGGCTTCTTTTCCTCGTTGTGACAATCTTTCTTCTAATGCTTTTGATTTAATTCATGCTGATATATGGAGTCCTTTTGCTTATTCTTCCATTCACGGACATAAATAGCTTTTAACTGGTACAGATGATCATGGTTATTTCTCATGAAAGGTATGGAATGCACCTTCATGCTTGTCTGTCTACTACATTTGATTATGCAGTTAGTGTGCTTTTTTTCGGGTAGTTTTTATATTTAAATAGTTTAGTGAGAGAAGTGTAACCAATAATGTGCGAGGTTAGAACATAATACTGGGATCATTTGGAATGTCAGCTTAAGGGAAAAGAAAACCAAACAAAATGTGTACAACATTTGAAAATGATGCAGATAAAAAGTATACATACAAATGAAAATGAGAACTACTCAGAGAACAAGGCCTCAGTAGTTTGGGTAGAAAGGCCAAACCCAAATGGGAAGAGGGGATCATAGTGAGGATCTCCAACATTCATTGGCAGTTGATCAACAGATTTGAACCATGTTCTTGGAAGTTTTCCTGTGAAAGCATAGTCACCAAATAGAACATCAGCCACACCTTGGCCTTCGCTACCAGGAAGCCATGCAGCAACAAGTGCATCTATCATATCAACATATGGTTCAATCACCAAAGGACGACCAGAAATTACAATAACCACACATTTTGTTACTCCACACACGTTTCTTATCATCTCAGGACCAGGGTCTGGGATTGTCAAGTTCATGTTGTCACCATGCGTTTCAGCATAAGGAGGCTCTCCTACCACAACAATGGCATAGGAAAATTCGTTGGATTTAACAAATTCTGCATCAGGGTTCTCCTTGTAGATCACTGTGGTTTCAGGATCAACAGTGTTTTTCACAGCATTGAGAATTGTGGTCCCTGGTCATACAAAGGTTGACAAGAATAATAAGAAACAAGAGTTGCATTATATAATTGATAGTGATGATATAAGTAGAAAAGAACAAACAAAATACATATATCTTAACCTTTGAGAAGATTGTTCCCACTGACCCCTTGCCATTCTATAGTCCAGCCACCACACTGATATCCTAGATTATCTGCATGGATTCCAGCAACAAGTATTTTTGGTGCCTTTTTAGGAAGAGGCAATAAAGGCTTATCAACAGATTGACCATTTTTCAGAAGGACCATTGATTTTCTCACCGCTTCTCTAGCCAAATTTCTGTGCTCCTGTTGAGAATTTTGGTAAACACTTAACATTTACAACGTGTTCCTATATTGTGAACTTGGGGATGTAAAAGGAAGTGCTTGAGGAAAACAAAAATAGGTAACCTGGATTCCCAAATATTTGGTCATACTGTAATCAGCATAAGGGTTCTCAAAAAGACCCATCATGAACTTAACCCACAAAATTCTTCTCACCGCATCATCAATTCGACTCATGGGAATGCGCTCATTTTTCACCAACATGGATAGACCATCTATGAATTCTGTGTAAAGCTTTGGAAACATGAACTGCAAAACCAAGCATAGTGTGAAACTATATTAAACGTGTTCTCATTGGTACCATACAGACCGGTTATGTTATATGATGTACTTTTGTCCTAAATAAACAACCATGTCAATGCCAGCAGAAACTCCTGCTTCGATTGAATAATTGATGTTTGCACGATGTGGAGTTGTGATCCTATCAATACCCTCAAAATCTGAAATGACAAAGCCCTGACATAATCCAAGAAAAGGCAAAGGGTTATATAAAAAATATGCACATATGATATGATAAACAGGTTTCAACTAATGTTAATTCGACAGACAAATCGTTTTACCTTGAAATGGAGAGTATTCTTGAGGAAGGCAGTAATAAGATCATGGTGAGCATGCATTTTTACACCATTCCAACTGGAGTAAGAGACCATTATGCTTGCCACACCTTTATCGATTGAGGTCAAGTAAGGTGGCATGTGAATTTTCATCAATCCATCTCTATCTATAACAGTGTTGTGCTCATTAATTCCATCGATTGTTCCACCGTCACCCACATAGTGTTTAGCACTGCCTATGACCTTTTCTCTGTCCAGCAATATAAACTACTAAGGTTCACAACTAACTGATATTGGAGCAATCATATAAAAATTAAGTTATTTTGTTCTTAAAATTCTTACTTTCCAGAGATGAAAGGGACACCCTTTGGTAAATTATGAGGGATGTCCCCTTGCAATCCTGGTATGATTTCGGTCATAGCTTGAACTAGTTCAGTATCTTCACTGTAGCTTTCATAACACCGACCCCATCTTGGATCTCTACAAACCTACAGAGAGTATAAGCCTGTGCTAAAAGATCTTAGAGCATAAAAAATTGATTGTAATCACTTACTGCTATACAAGGTGCATATGCATATTGAACTCCTGTTGCTCTAACTTCAAGGGCAGTTGCAGCTCCAATTCTCTTAACTAGTTCAGGGTCCCTAACAAGCAAAATCAAATATCTACAATGATCTCTTATAACAATAAAATAAGAATAGAATAATTATGTCTGGTATCAATATACCTGGTAGCTCCAAGACCAATATTGTGAGGAAAAATAGTTGCATTGTAAACAGTGTTGTGGCCATGAACAGCATCAACACCATAAAACACTGGAATTCCAAGCCGGGTTGACAAAGCACCCTTCTGAAATTCATTCACCATGTCAACCCAAGTTTCAGCAGATGCCTGTGGAGCCGGGATACTCCCTCCCTCACTCATTACACTACCTACTCAAAACACCAAAAAAATTGAGTGAATATACCACAAAAATGGGAAACAAAAAACCAAGAAAAGGTAAAGTGGTTACCAATAAAATACTTGTTGACCAAATCAGCAGATGTATGCTTCCTCTCAACCTGCAACATTTGACCAATTTTCTCCTCGAGAGTCATCCTGCTAAGAAGATCCTCAACCCGAGCATCTATTGAAAGGTTAGGGTCCTTGTACTTCATTTGATCTACACTCAACAAACCTGCCCAGTTAGCCAAAGCCCCACCAACAACAAGGAGATTTTAGCCATTCCATCCAGATCCATACTCCGTACTAAAACTAATTCAACAGGATATGTAAAACTCGGTTTCCATAAAAACTGTCTTCTTTGCACGTAACTCAGATGTGCGATATTAACCCTTCAATGATCAAGAACAAAATCTCTAGCACAGAAAATATGTGGTGCTCACTGATCATTAAGGCTAAATAGAGAATGGCAGCAATTATTACACTGAGCCTCAGATTCAAAGGCTTATAGAACGAGCAACATGTAAAAGATAAAATATTCATAGCTAAGTTAACAGAGAAGCATTCTTTATTTGTACCGTACCTGTCGTGTTCATGGATGCTCTCGGATGATGTTTGTCACTGCAGAAAATGAAGCATAATCCGGAACTGTGAATGGTGACATATAATGTGAAAACTGCGAAAAAGGAGTCACATGAAATTAATAATCAAAAAAATGTATGGCTTGGCTGCATGATTGGATCTGCTTTCCATAATATTATAATACGTGACGAAGGTAAAGTGACTTTATACAAATATTTATACGATTGAATCAAATAGAAATATACTTAGATATCATATACTGCTCATCTTTAGTGTAAAAATATTTAAACATAAATTTTTGTCCATTTATAAATTATTCTTAACTTAAAACTAATTGTAAATAAAATCCCCTTTAAAAAAGAGAAATCTTTAAACAGAGAGTGCCACGTGACATGGGAAACTGACAAAAGGAAAAACATATAAGAATAAGTGGTATACACGGATGTAATAATATTCACTCAAATAGTTTTTAGGGTTAAATATGTTTTTAGTCTTAAACTATTGACCGTTTCTGGTTTTCGTCCCTCTTCCAAAGTAAGGTACAATTTGGTCCTCATTCTTTAGAAAAACGTTCGTTTTAGTCCTCAAAATTTTGTTTTTAGTCCTCGTTTTAGTCCTCTCAAAACGTTTGTTTTTTCGACTAAAACAAACGTTTTTTAAAGATTGAGGACTAAAGTGTACCTTACTTTGGAAGAGGAGGGACGAAAACCAGAAACGGTCAATAGTTTAGGGATTAAAAACATATTTAATCCTAGTATTTATTATCTATAATATATAAATGTAAATATGTCAAAATGTTGGATAAATAAGAAATTATTTCCAAGAGATCCAAAAATAAATATTAACTAAAAAGGGTAAAAATTAAATTTTGGTTTAAAAAGTAATAATTTAAAAGGGTTTTAAAAATTGATCGAAGAAAAGTTTCTTTAAATTTTGTTTCAAAAGATCTAAAATAAACGTTCACGTAATTTTGGAAACAAGAGTCAAAAATTAAGAAAACATAATAATAAAATATATTAATTAAAAAATAAAATATGAGGTTGATTTTATTTTAGTTTAATTAAATTAAAAAGAAAAAAGAAAAACAGTATCAATTTCTTCTTCCACCTTCTTCTTCTTCATCATCCCAATCAGCAACCGTTAATGACACAGCTATTTCCTAAGACCATTGACCAAGTCAAAGATTAACTCATTAAGATTACTTTGTGTATGTATTAAACGATTAACCGATAGTAAATACAGACCGATAAATAGTATTATATATGACAACACTGTTAAAGTCATTTCTCTTATCTCACAACACAAACAAAGTATCTTCTCGTTTCTCTCTGTCCCTTTCTCCCACTTCCTTTTCCTTTGTCTGACTACACTAAAATTTGTTCCACCAAAATGTATATTTATAAATGTGGTGGTGATGAATTCTTTAAAGAAGAAATAAAAGACATTTTTAAATTGTGAAATTTATTTTGAAACTTCTCATTCGAAACGATAACTCTTTGACAAAGAATTTTAAATTAGAAAATTTCTTTAAATTTGGTCTTTTAAAAAAATGAAAAAAAAAAGCACAAATATAACTTTGAGAAAAGAAAAATTAATTGCTTCTGTCAATTTTATTTGACCTTATTTTTTAAAATATGTATTTTTTAAAATGTAGTAATGAAATATATTTAATATGTTAATTTCTAAATTATTTTAAAAAATTAAGTTTCATTCTAAATTTAAATTATAAATTTGTTTCTTTCTAAGTTATATTTTTTTCGTAAAACACATCAGATTATAAAAATATATTGTTAAACTAAAACAAGAAATGCAAGAGAATTTAACATATTATGAAATTTATTTGAAATTTCTAACTCGAAATCCTAGCTTTGGATAAAAAACTTTGAACTTATTGTTTTAAACTATTAGAGTTATATATGTTTCTCATCCGGAAATTAATTTTAAAAATTATATTTGTTTTCAAATTAAATTATATATATATATATATTCCATAAAGCCTATTCGGAAAGAAAACTTTAATCGCTTACGGAAATTTTCTACCTTTTTGTTTTAATTTTACTGGTGAGAATACTTCCTTACACATGATATTTCAATTGTTTCTTTTAAAATTTATTTTGATTCACTGTTAAATATTTTAATTTTTTAAAATGTTTGAGTCTGAATTACAATTTTGAAATGTAGACAATTTGATATTTCATATTAATTTAAATATATATTTTTCTCTTCAATATATACAATGATTTGAATATTTCTAGATAATTTATTTATATAATTTCTACTATAACAAATATAGATACTTTAGTATGCTTAATTCTTCAATTAATATAAATAATATTATATTATTTAATTTTCTTATAAAAATGTATTTTAAATAACGATTATTTAGTTTTTTAAAATTATTTAATTTTTAATTTAAAATATAATTAATTTAAGTATTTATCTTTTCTTTAATAAGTACAAATATTATAATATTTGTAATTGATTTAATTATTTAATTTATTCTTAATAAGTATAGACATTTTAAAGTTTTTAGTTAATTAAATTAATTATTTTTATTTATGGTTTTTAATTTAAAAAAGAAAACTAAAAGTAAATTAAAAGTTAATTAAATGATATAAAAAAAATCAATGATTGAATATACTATAAATTCAGTGTTTATTTTTTTTAATTATTTAAAATAAACTAAAATAGCGATCATTAATAATATTTTATTGTTTAAAAAATTATTAAATTCATTAATATAATGTATTTATAATATATATTAAAAAATAATATTTTAATTCTGTTATATTATCATTAAATAAATGCTATCATTATGATATTTAATAGAAGTAACAAATTTATGATAAAAAAATATTAAATTTTTATATAAAATTTTGAAAATTTTATTTTAAAATATTTTTATTATATTTAAGTTACAAAAATAATTATTTAACATAAAATGCTTTTGAACATAACTAATAAAAATATATTTTAATAGTTTAAAGGAGATCGATACTTGAAAATATTTGTGCTAAGTCAAATGTAAACTTTTGGTTAGAATCATTTCTCCTCTACAAAATTTTATTTTAATAAACAATTCTATTTTACCTATAATTCTTGACATTGTGTGTTTTTATCATGTTCTATTTTTTTTATCGCTTGATTATGTGTGTCATTTCAATTAGTTTCAAATTCTGTTGAATAATAAACAACTTAATATCATCCAAGCATTCCTTTCATTACGGGTGTCACACTCTATTGAATCATGTGTGCCACACTCTCTTCCATTCTTTCTTTAAGGAATTCATGAAGATCATCTTTATAAATATACATTTTCATCGAGTAAAGCGACGACAATCATCATTCATCTATTAATGTTTTTCCTCTTCTACCAATCAAGATGACCTTTCTATCACAATTTTCACTTATTTTCCTTTCCCTCTTTTATACTTTTACATTTCAAAACATTCTATGCAATAATCTCATGCAATGAGAAGAACTAAAAAACGTTGCAAATATTTAAAGAGGATCTTATTGATCCATCCAACAACCTCGTCACATGGTCCACTCAACAAGATTGTTGTGAATGGAAAGGAGTTCACTATGACAATACAACAAGCAGAGTAACAAAACTTGACCTTTCCCAACAATCTCTACAAGGTGAAATCAAGTTATCTTTGTTAGAACTTCAATTTCTATATCATTAGGATGTGAGCGATAACTCCTTTAAGGTTACTAGCATTCCACCAATTCATAATGATACCATTTTTGGCTCTAACCTTCATTACATTGACTTATACTATAATGATATTTCCATGGATAGTCTTCATTGGCTTTACAACTTCCTTCGTTCAGATATCTCGACCTTGGTTCTACAAATCTTCGTTATGCTACCTATTACCAAATAATTAATCATGTTTATTATAATTTGTTATGTATTTTGTCTTTTTCTTCCTGAACAGTTTTGCACAGTTTGTTATTACACATGTCTAGTTTGTTATAGATGGATGATTTTCTTCATCCTTACATATATAGGCTTTGCCTTTCCTATAATGATTATCATGGAATCAATGAAACATTTATTCTAAGATGGTATCAAAGCTCTTTCGGGAGTTCTAGTAGCCAAAAACCTATCATACAAATTTGTTCATTTCTTCTTTATACCCACTCCAATGGAGCCTTCTACCAAATTCAATAGCTCTTCAAGCAATCCATTATCTGATCCACAACCTTATCGTAGATTAGTTGATTAGTTGATGTACCTTACAACCACTAGACCAGACTCAACTTTTGTTACTCAACATATGAGTCAATATGTTTCTTAACCAATGGATACTCGTCATAGTGTTGCCATGAGAGTTCTTCGCTACATCAAAGGTTCTCCTACTAAAGGTCTTCACTTTCTTGCCAACTTATCTCTAATGTCTTCCAATTTTGCTGATTCTGATTGGGTAGTTGTATTGAAACTCGAAAATGTTACTAGTATTGCGTCTTTATTGGCTCTTCCTTAATTTTTTGGAAAACTAAGAAGCAAACAATTGTATCTCGTTCTTCCTCTAAAGCTGAATATAAGGCTCTTGCAGCTTTGAGTTGTGAACTGCATAGCTCCATTTCTTGCTCATTGATTTGCAAGTTCCTCCCACTACTCCTACTTCAGTTTTTTGTGATAATTAGTCCGCTTTATACCTGGCTCAAAATCCAACTTTTCATGAACGAACAAAACATATAGATTGACTGTCATGTCATCTGCGAGAAAAGTCAAAGTGGTCTTCTTCATTTGTTGCCCATTTCTTCACCTGCTTAATTGACTTATATGTTTATTAAGGCTCTTCATCCCAAAGTTTTCAACAATGCATATCCGAGCTTGGACTATTCGATGTTCATAGTCCCACTTGAGGGGGTATTACCAAATAATTAATCATTTTATTACAATTTGTTATGTTTTTTTTTGTCTTTTTCCTTCTTGAACAGTTTTGCATATTTTTTCCTCCTTGAACAGTTTTGCAAAGTTTGTTATTACACATGTCTAGTTTGTTATAGATGGATGATTTTCTTCATCCTTATATATACAGGCTTTGCCTTTCTTGTGATTATTATCATGGAATCAATGAAAAATTTATTTTGAGACTATCAATGGGCTTTAGTTGTTGCATATGCTCCCTTCTTTGTTCGAGTTACGATTGAGGTATTGTGGACTAAACATCACTTCGTCTCTCAAACATGTGAATTTTAATTCACATGTAACTCTTGATCTTTCAAGCAACTATTTCACCTCAAAATCATTAAGGTGATTATTTAATTGTAGTAGTGGCATCTCTCATCTTACCCTTAGTCAAATTTCTTTATCTGGGAATTTTGATCTTCAATGGCATTCTCAACTTCATTTTGTTAAATATCTTGACCTTAGTTACATTGATATTCATGAAGCAACAAACTGGCTTTTGGATATGCCTCCTTCATTATCAAACCTACACTTGTGCAATTGTCAATTAACCAACATAAATCCATCTTTAAAGCATGTGAATTTTACTTCACTTGTCACTCTTGATCTTTCTTTCAACCATTTTAACTCTGAATTGCCAAATTGGTTGTTTAATCTCAGTCGTGATCTCTCTCATCTTTCTCTTGCATTCATTAGTTTATACGATGAAATACCTTCAAGTTTGTTTAACTACCAAAATTTGGAATACATTGATCTATCGAGAAACATGTTTTCTCGTTCCTTTCCTCCAACTTTGGGAAATCTCACATATTTGGTTTCCCTAAATATTGGCTATAATTCCTTTTCTAGTACAATATCTGAGATGGTTTTTCCTAGACTCCAAAACTTAAAAGAGTTGGACTTGAGAAACATAAAGTTTACATTTCATTTCAATCCTGAATGGATTCCTCTATTTCAACTTAAAAGTCTTTATTTGGATGATACAAATCAAGGTCCTCAATTTCCATCATGGATATATACACAAAAGTCACTTTCAGTTTTATCCTTGTCAAGCTCAAAAATTTCATTTACAGAAGAAGAAAAGTTTTGGGGCTTCATAGCTAGTATTGATATGGAGATTGATATATCCAACAACTCAATTAGTGGAGACATATCGAACGTCAGGCTAAATTCTGACATCATAAAGTTAAACCAAAATAATTCCATAAGAAGACTCCCATATTTATCACCAAAGGTCGAATATGTAGATTTATCTCATAACTCTTTCACAGGATCGATTCCACATGCTTGGAAGAACTTGAAACATTTGTTTTTTATCAGCTTGTGGAACAATAATTTATTTGATGAAGTTCTTGAGAAACTCTCATGGTCGATGTATTTAAGAGTTATAAACCTCGAAAACAATGATTTTTTTGGAACTATACCAAACAACATATCTAGATCCGTAGAAGTGGTGATAGTAAGATCTAATAAATTTGAGGGGAGTATTCCACCTCAACTATTCCTTCTCTCTAATTTGATTCACTTGGATCTTGCCCATAATAAGATTTCAGGATCAATTCCTCAGATTACGTATAACACAACAAAAAGGATTGCAGATAATTATTCACCATTTCTCTTTGGTGAAGCTGAAGATGATAACATTGATTTGTATGAAAAAGTTCAAGTTTATGAATGTAAACTTGACTTGGACAGACATACCATTGACCTTTCAACTAACAAGATATATGGAGAGATTCCTTCGGAATTATTTAGGCTAATTCAAGTTCAAACATTGAATTTATCTTATAATCATTGGACTTGAAAAATACCTAAGACAATTGGAGGAATGAAAAATCTGGAATCTCTTTATCTCTCTAATAATAAGTTTTTTGGCGAAATTCCAAAAACCATGGCCACCCTGTGTTTTCTGAGTTATTTGAATCTATCATGTAACAATTTTTCTGGACAAATTCAATAGAGACTCAACTTCAAAGTTTCAGTGTATCAAGCTATAATGACCGGTCGGTCCAGAACAATGATTAAATGATAATTAATCTTGACAATAATAACAATTAATGAATAGTTAAGTAGAATAATAGCAATTTATTGGTAATTAATGAGTCAGACCTAATGGTAACTTTCTTATAATATATGAATATATGTCTCACGAAAAAGATAGGTAATTAATTACTTATCTTTATTACAAGATTATTACCCAAAGTAACTTACTAGAACGTCCGGGAGTGTCTTCTGCAAGCACCCTCCTCACGGTTAAGATAAGGAGAAGAGAGAGTAGTGTAACCTGGATGATGGAATGGACAACTTTGAATGCTGAGTAAGAAATCTCAACCCTACCCGAAACAAAAATAATTGTTACGGGCAAGTGTTAAAGAGAATGGTTTTCCTTTGGGTGGTGATCAACCATTAAACATGCTCGGTGTCATACAGGTATTACACTCGATCATCAGAAATAGGTGGGGAAAAGTTATTTCATATGACCTTTTACATGTCTAACAGTCCCAGAAATCTCAGAGCTACTACTTGATTTGAAAGTAAGTGAGTTCTATAATTAGCAGTTCTAATAAAGCCTGTGTTGGGACAGTCTCGGTAATCTTCCAGCTAAGCTCAGTTTTGATACTTTGTGGTTAGTTCCTTCATGCCAAATTCTTAGTTCTATAATGTCAAATTCTTATTTTCTAGTTTAATATATTAATTTCATGTACTTGCGTCTACTCCTACATCGACTCTAATTTTATACACGCATTCCCCTGTTAAATTATATTCTTAGAGAGTTTGGGTTGCTTTCTTTATCGCTATATTTTTTTACTTATGTTAAAATTGTGTATGATAATGTTTTTCTTTTCTTTGTGTAAATAATAAACATTTTGAATATAGCTCTCTGACTTTGGACTTGCAAAATGGACGTCAACTTCATCAAATATTTGGGTTTGTACTTTCACACATGCTGCAGAGAGAATTTGCTTTTAAATAGTTCCAGTTTCTAAATTCTTTAAACACTCATTTATGCAGTTACATGGTTCCTGAGTACTTCATGTATGGCAAAGTAAATGACAAGATTTATGTCTATGCACTTGGTATTGTGCTTCTTGAGCTGTCTAGTTTGACATTCCCTGATAAATTTGGTTAATCTTACATGTGTCCTGTCTAGTTTGAATGTTTTGAATGCAAGTTTTTGAGCAAAAATAACCAATCTAAATTGAAGAATTTTACTTTATTCAATTTTCATTCTATTTTCCCTGGTTCTAGTTTAATTATTGAAACTGGATCATTTATAATAATGAACAAAAATTTCCAGGTAGCAGGAAAAAATCACTTAGTTCTGAACCTATCGTTTAAAAACAACATAATACACTCTTTATTGTTTTTTTTTACGTAAAAAATAAAAAATATATATACAAATCAAGATGAGAACTAGGCAGAGTAAAAACCCTTAGTAGGTTTGGTAGACAGGCCAAATCCAAATGGGAAGAGGGGATCATAATGATGATCCCCAACATTCATGGGCAGTTGATCAACATATTTGAACCATGTTCTTGGAAGCTTTCCGGTGAAAGCATAGTCACCATATAGAACATCAGCCACACCTTGGCCTTCGCTACCAGGAAGCCATGCAGCAACAAGTGCATCTATCATACCAACATATGGTTCAATCACCAAAGGACGACCAGAAATTACAATAACCACACATTTTGTTACTCCACACACGTTTCTTATCATCTCAGGACCAGGGTCTGGGATTGTCAAGTTCATGTTGTCACCATGCATCTCAGCATAAGGACGCTCTCCTACTACAACTATCCCATATGAAAATCCATTGGATTTAACAAATTCTGCATCAGGATTCTCCTTGTACACCACTTTGGTTTCAGGATCAACTGTGTTTTTCAAAGCTGTGAGAATTGTAGTCCCTGCTCATACAAAGGTTAACAACAATATTAAGGAACGAGAGTTGTAATATGAAAGTGAGTTATGATATAATCTTCAAAGAAAAGTATAAATTTTCACCTTTGAGAAGATTGTTTCCGCTGAATCCTTGCCATTCTATGGTCCAGCCACCACACTGATATCCTAGATTATCCGCATGGCTTCCAGCCACAAGTATTTTGGGTGCCTTTTTAGGAAGAGGCAGTAAAGGGTTGGCAGCAGATTGGCCATTTTTTAGAAGGACCATAGATTTTCTTACAGCTTCCCTAGCCAATTGTCTATGCTCCTGTTAATAATTTTGAAAAACATTGAACACTATGATCCCTTTTCTGAACTTAGTGAAGTTAAAGGAAACACTTAAGAAAAACAAAGTACTAACCTGGATTCCCAAATATCTGACCAAACTGAAATCAGCAAAAGGGTTTTCAAAAATACCCATCATGAACTTAACCCACAAAATTCTTCTCACTGCATCATCAATTCTACTCATTGGAATGAACTTCTTTTTCACCAACATGGTTAGATCATCGATGAATTCTATGTAAAACTTTGGATTCATGAACTGCAACACCAAGAAAAGTTTATAGCAATATCAACTGTGTTCTTATTGGAACGTAATACCTAAATTCAGAAACTTTTGGCATAAATTACCATGTCAATGCCAGCAGAAACCCCTGCTTCAACTGAATAAGTGAAGTTTGAATGAGGTGGAGAGGTGATCCTATCAATACCCTCAAAGTCTGAAATAACAAAGCCCTGGTATAGTTCAGGAAAATGTAAGTGTCATTTAAAATTGGATGATAAACAGCTTTCAATGTCATATTCAACCCAATTTATTTTACCTTGAAATGTAGAGTATTTTTGAGGAAGCCAGTAATAAGTTCGTGGTTTGTATGCATTTTTACTCCATTCCAACTGGAGTAAGAAACCATAACGGTTGCCACACCCTTGCTGATTGAATTGAAGTAAGCTGGCATATGAATTTTCATCAATTCATCTCTGTCAATAACAGTGTTGTTCTCATCAATCCCATTGATTGTTCCACCATCACCCACGTAGTGCTTAGCAGAAGCTAGAACTTTTTCTCTGTCGAGCAATGCAAAAGTATTTTAGAAACACAATACTAACTGACCAAAAGATGGCATAATTGTAACATAAGATATAAGGAAAAGATTTATAAAGCTTGTATAGATATTTTGGGATGATTGCAATTCAATTACAATTGCAGCCGTTATTGAGACTTTAAAATCCTTTACATTACAGCTGCAATTTGCACTGTTTTCTAAAACCTTGTCTAAGACCATTTTATTGCAAGTCAAGCAAAACCAATGATAAAGTAATGACTCTTCTTCTTGGGAAGGTTTAACAATTCAACAGAATGAGGAGCATGAATATCAACTAACAAGGTTTAAAAATAACTGATGATAAAACAATCATCTCAAAATTAAGTTATTAAGTTTTCAAAATTCTTACTTTCCTGCGATAAAAGGGACACCCTTTGGTAAATTATGAGGGATGTCTCCTTGCAAGCCTGGTATGATTTCAGTCATGGCTTGAACTAATTTAGGATCCTCACTGTAACTTTCATAACACCGACCCCATCTTGGATCTCTACATACCTTCAAAGATTATAATGATGCTTTTAGAGATGTCTGTAACTTAGAGCATAAAAGACCAGTTGTTGTTACTTACTGCTATACAAGGTGCATAAGCATATTGAATTCCTGTTGCTCTAACTTCAAGGGCAGTTGCTGCACCAATTCTCTTGACTAATTCAGGGTCCCTAACAAGCAAAATAAAAATATCCATTATAATCTTTATCAAATAAATGTATTGAATAGAATAAGAATAAAACAATTTGTGTTATGGGAAATTTCTACATGACTTACATACCCAAGTTTCCAATCTAATAAAAGATTATGACAATAACAACATAACAGAGGACACCTTTTCGTAGGAACAAACCAGATAAAGCAATCTATGCTTAGTTTCTAGACTAGACAATGCAAGTTTCACACAAACCTATATATGCCTGTATAACTGTTTCCTGAATTGTCTTATCACAAAGTTCAAAGAACAAAATCAGTTATACTGTCTTTAGAATAAAACATTTTTTTAAAATAAAAGCTAAGACATATGGGGTGCTTCTTTGATATCAATATACCTGGTTGCTCCAAGACCAATATTGTGAGGAAAAATAGTTGCTTTGTAAACAGTATTGTGACCATGAACAGCATCAATCCCATAAAACATTGGAATTCCAAGCCGGGTTGATAAAGCACCCTTCTGAAATTCATTCACCATGTTAATCCAGGTCTCAGCAGAAGCCTGTGGAGCTGGAATACTCCCTCCCTCACTCATTACACTCCCTACTCGAAAAAGAGAAATGATTTTCATCATTGGCCATTGAATGAATATACCAAAGAGGAAAATATCAAGAAAATCAAACAAGTTTGGTCAGGTGGTTACCAATAAAATACTTCTTAACCAAATCAGCAGATGCATACTTGCGTTCAATTTGCAACATTTGGCCAATTTTCTCCTCAAGAGTCATTCTATTAACAAGATCATCAACCCGAGAGTCAATTGATTGTTTAGGGTCCTTGTACTTAATGTATTCTGCATCCAACAATCCTGTCCAGCCACTTAGTAGCCAAAACCACACCAACAAAATGGAGATTTTTGTCATTTCCTTCCCACCCTTGTATGCACTGGAAAAACAAATGCAACAAGATATGTAAAACTCAATGTCTATAAATAAAAACTTGGTCCATTCTGCACATAATTCAAATGCACCACATTAACACTTCATTGTCCATAAATGCTACCAGAACCCCAGCATTGCACTACTCTGAGACTCAGTCAGAGGCTTACTGAACAAGCAATCAAACACATTTAAAACATCCCAGGCTCAAGAAGAAACATTGCAAAGCTTAGTTAAGCTGTATCATTTCCATACCTTGAATCTTTATGTGATAAGGAAAGCTTGCATCAGATGTCACTGCATAAAAATGAAGCAGCAACCATCACTGAAAATGGTAATATTTATAGTGAAAAAAGCATGGAAAGTAGTACAGAATCCAGATCATTGCTATTAACGTGCTGATAAAGAAATCTTAGAACAAATGCCCCATATGGTAATCTGACCCATAAAAGAGAAAACAGATAAAAAAGAAGGTGAATTTTCACAATCAGATAACTGGAAGCAACCTTTATCAAAGGCACTAGTGTCAGCGAAAACATAACACAATGGGCCAACCAACAGCAAAGTTATTTATAGGGAATTAGTATCATTGCGTGTTTTATATGAAAACGGCATTTGTAGGAAAGATTACTAATTCAATAGTAGTGCAAAATATCAAACTGGTATTATCTTATTTAGCAGTTTAGAAAAGAAGAACGCTTTCCTGCTGCAGAATCTGTTAAAATTTACTATTACATAGGAAGGAAGGAGAACTCACGTGATCAATTCGTTAATATCATTTTATAATGTTTAGATAACTTTTAGTATGTATATAAAGAAAATACTTTTTGCCTAATACGTATCTGTTCTATCTACGACACTGAAACTTTCCATATCAGAGTATACATTTCCGTATTTCAACATTTTCTACGTCTCTTTTCTACTTTTTCAACCTTTCGACTAATAATCAAAGCGTATCACAGATAATGTCAAACTCACCATTAACATTTTTCTATTCGTGAAACAAACATATATATATATATATATATATATATATATATATATATATCCCATAACTTTTAAGACAAAATCGTTCATATCTCATGTTTTAAAATTTAACTAAATAACATTAAAATGGGTTAAGAAACAGAAAACAACCTAGGATAATAATACAAGACTTAGAACCTAAACCCCAAACAAACAAAAACTAGAACTTGAACCCCAAACATAGAAATCATAAAAAAACACTTAAGTTCTAGGAAATAAAAAAACACTTACTTAGAATAATTAGATGCATGACTAGCCGATGTCCTATCTAAAGACTTGTGAGAGAAAATTGAGCTAAACGCTCAATGCTTAAATACCTGAAGTAGGTATTTGACTTCTCTCGAAAACAGAAACAAGTCGAGACAATGTCTTCAACTAAAACAATTAAAAGACATAATTGTTAAAAGATATAAGAAAGTCTGAGCAAGCTAAACATTATCGGTCTACAAAGAGACAAAAGAAAAAAAACATTTACTTGAATCAAAATGATACCATAAGCAAAACAGACACGTCATCTTGTGATGAAGTATCTATAGAATTGATATCTTCAAATTAAAAGAGCTTAATTGTAAGATGCTACCTAACAGTAAAAAAATAAAAAAAACACTTTGTTTTTCTGAGCACAACGTGCAAAAACAAAAAAAGTTATAAGAAAAGTCATATATGTTGCATGCACAGTTTATTCTAATTTTGCAAATAAGTTATTCTACACGCATCCACAATGCTACAGATCAAATATCAAATGTGAACGCTAAAGACAAAAGAGATAATCATGAAATTCCTCACTTGGAGCAAAGTCTAAAAGGATTTTACAACTTACTTCAAGCAAAGGACTGAAAAAACATCCCTACTCTGACAACGTTGACTTACACAACAGCTACTGTGAAAAGAAGAAAGAGAAAACACAAGCATCAAGACTACGAACTACAAGCATAGTCTAATGGACAAATATTCAAAAAGCTTATAAATAGAATATCTCTCAAGAAAAAATCAAGAGGATAGAAAAGAGGATAGCAAAAGTGCGTAAAGCATATAACGACATATCTATCCTAAAGAGAAAAAGAGAGAAAAGAGCTCAAAGAAAATAATACATTTGAGCTGAAGAAAAGAGAAAGAGATACTATCGAGTTTAAGTGTCAAATCTCTTACTGCTATAAGATCTTAAAGAGAAGCACTTGCGAGTGTTTAGACTATATTGTATTGTAATCAAATCCTCTTGCAGAGAAATTTAGTCTAAACTGCTTGCTTGTAAGATATCGTTGATTGCAATTCTGAAAAGAATTAAAACACTTTAAACCGAACTCTTTTGAGTTGAGGAATCTAGGCGCGGTAGTCTAGTATCAGGATTGGTTCAAATACTCAAAGAAATCTCAGCAGGGCAAGGTGCTGAGTACCAAGATTGATGCGAATACTCAAAGGAAATCTCGGCGAGGTGTTGAGTACAAAGGTGGTGCAAATACTCAAAGGAAATCTCGACGAGGTAGCTGAGTACCAGGAGTGGTGTTAATACTCATTTGTAATCATGTGAATATTATAGTAGAACCCTCTGTGAAGGAGAGTGAACATAGCTGAGTTGGAGCTAACCAGTATGAAATCTCATGTATTATTCTTTCTTCTCTTTACTAAACAATCCTCTTAAAAAAATACAATAAAATGGAATCCTCCAAATAAATTAAAAACATCGTAAAGTGATACCTATAATTAAAATGCTTTTATAACCACATAACAACACTCTACAGATAAATTAAGCTAAGCTAAAATGTTTGTTAGAAACTTATTTATTTAATTCAACTAGTTAGTTAACCAACATTTTACAATCTTAGATAAACACAATCAGATTCGACTAACTCATTGCGTAGAGTACACAATATTATATGTATTTTTTTATTATAAATAATTTTGCCCCAACTGTAAAACCATTTTGAATATGAAATATTTTCTTTGAATGTTTAATGCAATTATATATTAAGAGTTCAAAATCGAAACAATTAGTTAAGATGTCGCACGCAATTCATCTACATTTTTAAGCTTCATGTAAAATTTCTCAAGTTTGAACAAAAAGATTAGGTCCTGTAATTAGCTCTCAAAGAGTTTGGATACTGAAGCAAAAATTAAATAAAAATAATTCTTCATTAGGATAGGCTTCTCTAAAAAAATATATTTTTTATAAATTAATACTAAATTATATATTAATTAAAACTAAATATTAGATAAACTATATGAAGAGCTTTTACATACTAGTTTATAATAAAATTTAGTTTAACTTATAAATATTCATTTAAACAATAATACATAAACATCATCGTTCATTTAATAATTTGAAAATCTGAACCAACAAGTTGTAGGTTTTAGTAGTATTCTATTCAGTTAAAAATGATATTCATAAAGTTGTTTTAGTATGTTTTATATTTAATATTTAATAAATGTGTAATTTGGCATGAGGGCATATGATAATCTCAATTAAAAAAAACTACGAAAACACTATTTAACCATAAAAAAATATTTGAAACTACAGATTCCATTAAAAAAAACCAATAAGATTTTTAGCAAAAATTAATCTGTAAAACTCTGGAAGAAAAAAAGTTATAGTATGGAATTATTGATAGCAGAAGATAATAACTATGAACGTGAACTCTGTTACGTAATTTGAATACATGGAAAGATTATGATATGTCCTTACAGAAACTTCCACGACTTTTCTTACATTTAGGTTTTTGTAAATCTCACGCTTTTGTTTTCCGTACTTTGAAACCAAAGCGAAAATGGACTTTCAACCCCAACCCATGTGTAGGACAAAGATTATCCAAATCCATGACAAAGTTAAAACTCACCATTACGTGGAAGATCATATAAATAAAGGGGTAAGATATATTTTATTAAGTTACAACAATACAAAAGAATATTCTTTATTAAAATTAAAATGTTAAAAATAACACAACGATTACAAAGAAAATTAATTTAAAATAATAAGTGAATATAAACCTAATTTTACAAACTAGTTTTATTAGTTTAATTTTTAACATAATATTAGAATAATGGATTTATTATGTCATTGTCCCACGTGTTATTTAATCATTATCCGATCATCTTTTAATTTTTTATCAAATATATATTAGAATTCTTATATTAATTAAAGAGACTAGTTTATAATATATAAATATAAAATAAAATTAAACTTTATTTATTTGATGGTAGTTTTATAAAATCATCTACACTTCGCTAAAACCAAAATTCTTAGTCAAAGGATTAATTCAAACGTATTCATAATATTGCAGAATATAATAAAGAGTGTTTTCAAATTTCAACAGATTGATAAATAATAAATAATAAGCAGACAAATAAGTTATTTGAAAATATTAAAAGTGATTATGAATTTGTAGATGCAAATGTGTTAGGAAAAGATTAAAGATTATGTTTACATGTCAATAGTGTGTAATGGAAGGGAAAGATCATCACGACATGTCAACTGAGTGTGAAGTTGAAATAAATTATTTAAAAATAGTTTGAATCACCAATCTTATTAATAGACATCCTAAAAAAATATTTCATATAGTATCTTCATTTAGTGTACACTAGGATGCTTAGTGTGTGAGTTGGCTATCGGCCAATGTAAATAGTAATATTTATTATTGATTTTGATATAATGATTATGAATTTCTATCTCTGCAAATATTTATTACATTTTTTATATGAAAAATAAAAATAACGGTGAAAAATATAATAATCTTAGGAATTTACTATAAAAAATAACATACATGATATTTTATTTAATGTGAAATTATAAAGAATGCTTATAATATACATTTTAAAATAAAATATTTAATAAATTATGAATATTTTGATAATTTAAAATAGAGAAAATAAAAAATTAACACATACATATTTATTTTTGTCTTGATATTTAATTTTAAAAATAAAATATTATTCAACCAGTGGGAAGAATTGACGACAATTCAAACTGTCATCATATCATATGTTCAAATAACCAATGACATTTAAGGGTGAAAATATGTAAAAAAAAAAAAACTAACAACCGTTAGAAATAATCATAGTAGAAAAACAAAATGAAATTAGACAAGAGAAACAACCATCATTAAAAATAGACTTAGAAAAGATGGTTTGCGTTAGAACCATTGTTAAAAGGTGAGACTTTTGTTTTTTAAATGAACTCTGAATTTATACATATTCACAATCCTCCACAAATTTTCAAAAACAAATTCATTTTGTAATTCTATACAGTCTAATAAATATAAAGCAGAATACCAATGTTAGAAACAAAGTTTTATAAAAATAAAAAATTTCTATGAATAAATATATTCTAACTTGTCAACTATCCTAAAGTGTTATATATGTTATCAGAAGAG